CAGATGTGAATCCATTTGTTTGGGTTTTTTTGCCCCATCTCTAGCCCTTTAGCTTGGCAGAGCTTGTTCTAGCAATGGTCTTGCCCTTCCACTGTCATATTATTAACTGGTAGAAAAGAGCTCTTTAATTTTTTAGTACTGCATTATGATTGTTCGGATGCTCATCAATGCATATGAAATTTTAAGATCTATGTTTTCTGTCTTTTTAGAGGTTTTGATTTAGAATATGCATTTGTAAGCCTTTCAGTCTAAGTTCCAGATCAGATATAAAATCCAAGACAATATTCATAGGCAGTGCAGAAACAACTCTTATGGCTGGGCACCTTTTAAGAGTCAGTACAACAGTGCAGTTCAAGAAGATGACAAGCAAGAGTATGTTTTTCCTTCCTCCCATGACCCAGTGCAGTATGTTCAAATTCCTCCTCTAGTTCATAATTTTTAACTACTAGAGCTTGAGAGCATTTCTTACTTTATTTTCTGACTGACCTGAAAGAAAGGACAAAATGCATGATATGCCTGCACTCATGCATATGTAGCAGCCAGGTGCTTCCCTATGAGCTCGGAAAGTCTTTTATATCATTGCCGTTTTTCCTTAAAAATTTAAATGACTGGAAAAGGGTGGAGACTATGTAGAATCATCTATCTTTCATCTTAACTTTAATCCATGTCTGCTAAGGAGGAGGGGAAGGGAAGAAAGGCACAAGAAGGTGCTAACTTGCTCTTTTTCCCCCAACAAAATTAAAATCACTGAACATCTGAAAGGGACCTCTGGAATTCATCTTGTCCAACCTCCCCGCTCAAGCAGACTAGTTATTATAAAGCTCGCAACTATTATTTTATTGTACCAGCAACTGAATGTATAGAATGTGATTCTGTCAGAGTACAGCGAAATTTTGTCGCCTCCAAGAATGTACATTGATATAACACCATTCTGAATATCCCAGTGTTGCCTGTTTAGTTCCTGTCACTTTGTGAGAAAGCAATAGCTTTAGTTTTCCATCTATGAAGTTTTCCATGTATACCTGTACACTGGAGCAGATTGCCCAGAGAAACTGTGGATGCCCCATCCCTGGAAGTGTTCAAGGCCAGGTTGGATGGGGCCCTGAGCAGTCTGGCCTAGTGGAAGGTGTCCCTGTCTGTAGCAAGTGGTTGGAAAAGGAGGATCTTTCAGGTTCCTTCCAACACCATTCTGTGATTCTGTATACATGTACAGATGGTGATTCTCTAGACTTGCTTCCCTTTAGGGTATCCGATGGAGACTCCTTAAAGGCATTCAGTCTGAATTTGCATTTGAGGGGCCAGAAAATTTATCTTTCCACTTAGTTCTCTTCACTGGAAAATTACTTGCCAAAGCTCTCCATTGCTCTTTCCCATCAAATAATGATTTCTGAAAAAATGTTCAATTATTTTATTAGACATCGTTAGAAATATTCAACAAGTGAGAACTTGAACATTTCCAATACTTTCCGTGACATTTATATAAACTTGCTTCAGGGTTTTTTTTATTACATTTCTGAAATTTTTTTAGATCTTATTTCCATAAGTATTCATTGATAAGCACTTTTTCGAAGAAGTGGATGAATGAAGTGACTTTAAGGTTGTCGGTTTCATTCATTATCATGGCAAGGTTTATTATATTACTCATGCCACATTCTCTATAACAAAAAGCATGTCATTTTAAATTTAGCATTTTTATGACAAATTATAATTAAAACTCACTCAGAACTCTGGAACTTACACTTTTTTTTTCTCCAAGCAGTGCTTTAAAAGGCTCCCTATGGTTAGACTATTAAGTCAGGTATACAATAATTCTTTTCAAAAAATTGCTAAGAACCTATTCTCTCACATTAACGTTGAATTTTTATGATTTAAAAAAAGTTTGTTTTCAACTAGGAAAAAAATTGTATAATGTATAAATACTTTGTTATTTTAGAGCGCAGAGTAGAATTAGTATTTTGAGTCCATTTAGTATATACTGGAACACTAAAAAACACCAAAAGTGTAAAATCATTTCTTTAATTTAACTTTCGTTTTGCATTGTTTAAGAATTGTTGCAGTAAAGTTAAACCAAATTTAATTTAATGCAACACTTTTTGATAACAAAGGTGCTTTTCAAAGTTGGTGGAAAGGCTATATGTAGTATGACATTAATATTACTTCCAGTCATAGAATTAGAGCTTCTGTTGATGTCATAACATTATAACATTATAACATAAAGTTTTAAGAAAAAAATTGACATTGTTTTGAAACCATAGATATATTAGTTTATGATTTTTTAAAGCAGTTGGGAGAGGCCTAAACCTGCTTTAATAGTAATTGGCATTAGTTTTACAACTTTTGTGGGGGCAGATAGAAAAGTACAAAATCTTAAGGAAGAACAGAATTAAGCCACCAATGAACTTTTAAAACACTAATTGCATATGTTTTCATTAAGACTAAAAATAAACCATAACACAGGTACTTTTAAAACACAAGACGGTCCAATTTCTACCTGTCTTCAGAAGAAGAAAGTAAATGAAGATACTTAGACAGGTAAGAAGGGTGATAACAGCCATGCTCCTCACCCCACCACAGGATGTGGCCATGTTCCCGTTATTCAGAAATCAGACTTATGAAACAGAAATGTGTATGAACAAATGGGTTTCAAGTAGGAAAAACAGGACTTGAGACAGGTAGGGCAGTGGTAAGGATGGGGAATGCTGAATGTAAAGGAAATTATCTATCACGAAGAGATAGAAAAAATTATGTAACAGTCAAATATTTAGGTCTCACATATACTGAGAAGATCAAAAACGAAAAACAGTCTCCCCCTCAACTATGGCAAGTATTGTACAAAGGAGGAATATTGCTGCTGTAAACATTTCCTTCACTTGACAGTGAAAATACTGTGTAGGCTTTTCTGTCACTGAGTCATTTGGGATGGGAAGCTTGCCACTTCACAATGTTCCAGTGACACTGGAAATGCTGTTCACAGCAGTGAAAAATGTATCTCCCTGTAGTAAAGAACTCTTAACACTGCATTAAAAATAAAGAAAAATCCTAAAAATAAACCAGAAAAAAAAACAACAAATAATCCCTTTTAAAATATGGATTAAAAGACACTAATTTTACTCCTCCACATTCTGTTTGGTGGTCAAGAACGTACAGAGATGAAAACTTCACAGTATAAGGTCTCTAAAACCAAACTCTATAGAATTTTGTCAGTTGAAACATATCATCTTTTCAATAAATTGGAATTGAATATCTACTTATATCTTCCTGACAATTCAGACTAGTAAATAAAAATGACTGAAGCTTACAAAAGAACCCATCAAATAGGTGGGTGGATGTATGGATAAAGTAAGTTTTGGAAGATGTATCAGAAATTATAATAATTACCTAGGAATGTTGAGGTTAAAAAAAGGGAAGAAAATGAATTAACGTGAAATGTCAAACTTCCAACATTGCTGATGGAGCAATGCATAAATGTTACTTTATTTCATTGCTGCACCATTATTTTTGTAATTTATGTAGTGTTTTTTAAGTCTTTCCGAAGAAGGCAGAATAATTTTGAAGTAATATCTGTCTGTTTTTCTATCTATCCATCCATGTAAATATATACACTGAATTCTGGCTTATTGCATAATAACACTGTGAAGAACACTTCTATAATAAAACAACCCGTATAATGGACAATGAAGTCAATTGCATAAGAAGTAAAATGCTCCCCTTCTTTTGAAAACAGTTCTTACTTTTCCATTTTAGAGTCCTACACTAAGACTAGACTAAGAATGAATATTTATGTATTTAGAAGCCTGCAAAAAAAAAATTCAAATTATATTTGAAAAGGTAAATAGATATTAAAATTAGTTAAGCAGAAAAATGAAAGCTTGAATGCTATGCTTAATCTGAAAACAATCCACAATGTTTTGGGGAGGCGGAAGAGAAAGAAAAGGAAGATGATATTTTAAAGTAGTCCCATTTATTTATTTATATTCTGTTAAATCCACTGGAGTTTGCTCCAGGACAGAGTATCACACTAGGCAATTGTCACTGGCCAATTTCTGAGCCAGGTGACAGCCTCTTGAATTAGCTGGTGCATGAACCATTGCTGAGCTGGCTTTTTTCCCATAGTTTATTGATCAGATACAAATCCTCTCCTGTATAAGGGTCATCTGAGTTCACAGACACAGCAGTGATGGTTCTCCTGAGAATCACACTATTCAAAAGAGTTTATAGTATTGCTGTCTGTTATAGAAATATCAACCAAATTGAAAAATTAAAATAATTTTTTTCTGAGTTTTGTAATAAGGTAAAATTAACTAAGCATCAAGTCTCATAATACAAACACAGAAAGCAAGATCACGTGTGGAATATGTTTATTTTTAAGTGAATGATTGCATTTTCAAGGTACAAGATCAAACCAAATGAGGTCCTAACCCTATAATGATTTAATGATATGCATATTTTTCCTCATACTAATTTATTTAAGACTAACTGTGTGCAACTGTTTGTAGACTAAATAGCTTGAATTAACTTGACTGAAGACTTTTTTACTCTAATTCAAAAAATGACCTTTACAAGAATAAATACTCTATTTGCACTCTCTTAAATCTTTCAGTAATTAGAATCAGAGAATCATAATTATATTTGAAATGTAGAAAATGATAGCTTGTATCAACTATTATTATGTTGAGCACTTAAAATGTTTTCCTTAGGCTGCTTACTGATACTCTCAGTCTTGGAATGTTGAGATATTATTTGTTATTTAATAATGCCATTTATGCTCTTTGACCATATTGGAATTTTGGCAGTGGGAAAGTATTATGCAGAAGAAAATGTTTTTTGTGATTTTAGCAGGTAATATTCATGCTCCATCTTCAGGACTGTTTATTCCCATTAATTTCTGAATGGTTCATTTCTAAACATCCTTTAGTCTCCTGATCAACAGCTTTAAAACTTTAGAAAATGCTATTTTGGGATTAATTTTATTAATAAGTGTTAATTTTCTTTCTTTCAAGACACTCTTTTTAATGGTCTTGGACTCGGTGCTGTCATTGGCCTGGGAGTGGCAGCCCTTTTATTAATCCTGGTTGTGACTGATGTAAGCTGCTTCTTTGTACGACAATGTGGATTGCTAATGTGCATCACCAGGAGGATCTGTGGGAAGAAGAGTGGTTCAAGTGGAAAAAGTAAAGAATTGGAAGAAGGAAAGGCTGCTTACTTGTGAGTATTAAACACCTATGCTGTAAACACCATTAAAAGAAAAAGTTGGCTGTCCGGCTTATATTGACTTTATGGCCATTTTGTGGTATGGCAAAGGGAATTAATAAAATGTTTCTATTACTTGGAAAAGGAACTGTGTAGAATTGTTTATTGCCTTTAAAAGAAAAATTGAGACACAAACAAGGAATTTACTGTACCTCACTTTAGGATGACCTCTTTGTCCAGCTTGACACAAAGGAAATCAATCGTAATGCAGTATTAGTTACAAGCACATATTTGGTTCATGAGGAGCAGGTAACAGATCATTGTAACTCCATTTCTGCAAATCCATCTTTAAGCTGCTAATACCCAAAACCTCAGCATATGGTTGTGACAGTGCCAGTAAATCTGAGAGTGAAGGATGTAGTATTATAAAAAATCCATGAAAGAATTTTTTTCTCAGATGGAAAAATCCTTTTTCTTGCCCAGAGACTTTAAGAATGAAAGGTATTGTTGATTTTTTTAAAGTAGGAATGCTGAGTTAGATGTGGGTGAAATGGTGGTGAGTGTGATTGTTCTTCATAACAAGATTGCTAAACATGAGTGGGAAATAAACAATCGTAATTATCACAAATACCCTTCTGTAGTGGCTACTCCATCAGACAAAGGTGAATGAACTGATCATTTATGTGCAAATATGGTCCCTTAATTAAGAGTGGATACTGAGATCTCTGGCAAAACAGTTCAATTACTAACTGCATAAAATAACCATACTTTAGAGACCAAGCCTTTACAGGGCTTTCAATATGTAACCTGGAGAGAGGATTACTTGTGGTCCTCTGTTTTAAGCAGTTCCATTTTTTTTACCAAAATATGCTTAATTACCTGATTATGTTCATCTGGTAGACAACTTATGCATACACTGTAATATATGAGAGAATGCTGTCTTTGTGTGGCTGATTAATATTTACTGGTCCAATTCCTCTGTGCCTCTCCCAGCAGTCAGGCATAACAGTTTATTGTCCTGCAGCATCCTAGATCCCATCCTTCCCCAGGTGCCTGTAAGAGCAGAGTAGATTTTGCAGCCTTCATTATTCACAGCTGTAACAGGTTTCTCCATTGCCAGTACTGGAGGTGTAAAAGCCTTTTTTTGGTTTTAATTCTGGCTTTTGGGTTTCAGACTGTGTCTTCCTTAACTTGACTACATGTCTTGGTTAGGTTCTTCTTAAAAGAGGTTCCCTTTTGGAAACAGCTCCATAGAACAAAACCAGTTGTAAGCAAGCAGAGACTACTCCCATCAAATAAGGCTTCTGAATAAAAGTCATGCCATAAAATAACTGTTTCCTAGCTCTCCCCATCTTACAGCAAGAGAAAGATTAAGGATATTTTTTCTATTGTGTGAAGCTGACCTGTCTGGATCAATAGAATCAAGATGTGAAGCTTCTGGCTCTGGCTCAGCTGTCCTTTCCTGTTGAGCACAGCACTTCAGTTTATGCTTTAATTTCCCATTCAAGGAGTGACCAAGTACAAACTGGTGTACAGACCCTCCTGAACGGGAAGACCTTAGGGAAATAAAGCTGCAAATGTCACTTGACAGCAGTTTATACCTTTTTATCAACATCATACCCAAATGCCATTCTGTGCTGTCCCAGGAAAGCATAAAGCTGGTCTCTTAATATTAATTCTTCCATGACACGTATTTTAAAAGAACAACTATGTTATTTAACTATATTTCTTTTCATTGCTGGAGTGGCCTTCAGTCAGTCAGGTCTTAAAATACTTGTGACGGTTCTTATTTTAGCCTGTTCTCTGCACTAATAAACTGTCAGGCTAAAATTTCAGGACAGACTTGAAGAATCAAAATTTGAATTTATTTCATGCTAACAGCTATTCCCTAAAATACACTGACATTTCCCTGTTTTAAATATGTCAGTTTGCATTCTGGATTTTTGAGCGGGTTTGTGCTATGGTTCTTGGTTACACTTTGATTGTAGGATATATATATATATATATATTACACTTTGATTGTAGGATATATATATATATATATAGTAATTAATTATGTTCCATATGCAATTAATGTAGGTGATACAATGCATGTAACATACACACAGCCATCTAGAACAAAAACGACATAATGCATTTCCTATAAATCACTTTCTCTTCTGTGGAATTCTGAAATGTTACACAGTTTGTACATTCTGCACATGTATGTGAATGCTGCTCATGAATAATATCTTTTTTAGGTTTTTGGTCATGCAATAATGTTTGTAAGACTCTAAATACATTGAAAAACCAAGGAGAACTTATCAGTCCCTCCACCAGTCCAGCTTAAATCCATAATCTTTTCACAGATATGAGGTAGCCATGGCAGTTTAGTGCATCATCCAAAATGAGCTTTGTATCCATTTGTGTGCCTTAAATGTCATTTGCAGAGGTGAATAAGCACATACAGGATTGGGGGTTTTGGGTTTTGTTTGTTTGGTGTTTTTTAATAGACACAATCTTTAAGACTTCTACCCATTGTTTCTTCTCCAGTCAGTTTCTGTATATATGCTAAACTCTTATTAACCTACAAAGATTTTCCTTAAGGATACCTACCAGAAGATGGTAGAGTTTTCTTGATACTTCCTGTTGCAAAAGACTGTTTAACGATTATTTTTTCAGAAACTATATGAAAATGTGAGACATGAATTAGAGAAGCATTTAGCCAGGTCTTTGCTTTGGCCCATTGCAGACTGACTGCTCTCTAGAATATCAAAGGTCCAGAAAATAATCTGTTAAATATAAAAGTGATTGTTCATCTGTAACTCAGTTACCCTCTGTTTCCAGACTGCAGCTGATGAAGTTCCAGGATACAATTCCTGATCTGATGACAGGAATAGAGATGAAATATTTGCATGGAAAGAGGTTTTCTTTTTGGAAATAAATATAGATCGGGTATACTTTGGTGTGCCTTTTGAGAGTAAAATTATATGCAAGTTACGTAATACTTTTAGTAAGTCTTGTTAATCAGTAAGTATTATTAATAATTTTTTACCAGTGTGCAGTTATTTCTATATCGTGGTCATATTATTGAGAGCAGCCATGCAGAAAAGGACTTGGGGATTCTGGCTCATGAAAAGCTGGACATAAGCCAACAATATGCTCTCAATGGCCCAGAAACCCCCCGTGTCCTGGGCTGCACCCAAAGCAGTGTGGGCAGCAGGGGAGGGAGGAGATTCTGCCCCTCTGCTCTGCTCTGGTGAGACCCCACCTGCAGTGCTGCCTCCAGCCCTGGGGTCCCCAGCACAGGAAGGACATGGACCTGTTGGAGCGAGTCCAGAGGAGGCCACCAAGATTATCAGAGGGATAGAGCACCTCTCTATGAGGGCAGGCTGAGAGAATTGGGGCTGTTCAGCCTAGGGAAGAGAAGGCTCCAGGGAGACCTTTGTCGTTCTTTCAGTACTTGAAGGGGGCTTATGAAAAAGATGGCGACAGACTTTTTAGAAGGTGATGTAGGGATAGGACAAGGGTAATAAAGTGAAAGAGAGTAGATTTAGATTGGACAGGAGGAAGAATTTTTTACAATGAAGATGGTGAAACACAGGAACAGGTTGCGCAGAGAGGTGGTGGATGTCCCATTGCAGGAAAAATTCAAGGTCAGGTCGGACAGGACTCTGAGGAACCTGATTTGGTTGAAGATGTCCCTGCTCATTGCAGGGGGTTTGGACTAGATAACCTCTAAAGGACCCTTCCAACCCAAACTATTCTATGATTCTGTGACTATCAACAAAACACAATGACAATACTCACTGCTTCACCTTCTTTATAATTCATCGTCTAATTAGCCCAATGGTTATTCATTCACTTATATGTGAGACACTAGCATTTGTTCCTAAATGGGGGGAAATATGACACAGAAACAGTTTTTTCTACCAGTGAAAGCAGAAGGGGTTAGATTTTTACCACACAAGGGCTCTTTACGCCACTCTGGCAGCTGGGGTTGTCACAATCTCAGGAGATTAAAGCACACTTCTGCAGTGTGTATACAAACATAATGACTCTTTAACACTGCCAGAGAAGTTCAAGTATAACTAGGCTTCAAATCCTATATTTATTATACTATGTTAGGGAAGTTTACATCTATTCCCACGAAGAGGCTGTTGCCTTATTATTAGTCATAAACAAAATGCTCTTTTGAGATGCTAATTCATCATGTTTGCAGAGTTAGGTAAGTAACCATGGATACAGGATGCTTTGAAGACTTCAAGGAATTGGGAACACACTGTTAAATGTGTCTTGGTGGTGTTAGTCACTGATAATTAGTTCTGCCTTTCTTTTGCCAACTTTTGAGAGCAGGGATCTTGGTAATTCGTTAGGTGCAATGTATATGGTTAATATGATGATAAGAGACTAAGACTCTTTTAATAATTTTTAGGAAAGATGGATCAAAAGAGCCAATAGTGGAAATGAGAACAGAGGATGAAAGAATTACCAATCATGAAGATGGGAGTCCAGTAAATGAGCCAAATGAGACAACTCCCCTCACAGAACCAGAGTAAGTAGGCTGATATTCCCTGGAGTTTCACACAAGCTCCTCTTGGCTGCATGGATGGACTGGATTTCCTCCAGTCTGGGGGGGAGATACACAGTACCACCAGAATGGTCTGCTGTGGCAGCGCAGTGTATGAGTGTGGGGCTGGTTGGTTTGCTTGTTTTTTACAATAATCCATCTAAATCATGGTACCCCACATATACTGGCTGAGGATATCACGAGACATTTTTCTCTGCTTTCTGTGACCCAGAGTACAACCACATCTGGGCATTATCCAGCCCTTGGGTGGCAACATCACAACAGAGTCAATCCTGCAGTGTGTCTTTACACCATCACCTGTTTGGAGATTAATGAGCCTCCGGGGAAATTTTCTGCTCTTCCCTGCTGCCCTGACTCCCGAGGAGCTCCTCCTGTGTTCTTGGTCAATACAGGTCCAGACTCATCAGCAGCCTTTGCCCAGCCCTGGTCCTGGTGGGACATGGACCAGGCACCCTGCTGCTGCTCCCAGTTCTGCCTGTTGCATTCAGGGAGCTGGAGGCTGAGGACAAGGCTTTTCCTGTGCTCCCTGGCTCTCAGGATGCACCAGAGCTTGCCCCAGTGCTCCCCTGCCATTCCTTGCTAACCTCCAAACCCTGAGGGGAGCCCTGGCCAGCACAGGCAAGTCACAGCCCACACTGCCTTCCCTCCCAGCCCCAGCACCTGCAGCCACCTCACTCCCCAAGCTCTCCTGACTCTGCAGTGGTGACTGAGCAGTACAAGGATTTTTTAAGTTGGTTACAGCTCATCTTTACCACCCATCCAGAAGTTATTCACCACTCTGGGAATCTCCTGACTCTCAGGAATAGCTTTAGACTGACACACACACACATCCCATAGGTAGGGCACAATGATCCTGTGCCCCAGAAACCCAGCTCCTCACAGGGTGGCCCCTTCCTGCTTTCATTCATTTCACTGAGAGCTTAGCTGAGTATTTAAGTCCTCATGGTGTAATTGGATTAATTGATCTGAAGGGCAGCTGCTTTGCTCTGTTTCCTTGTGCCCCCTTCCTGTCCCTGCAGTAGTTCTCACCCACGCTCGCAGACTCCAGCTGCCTCCTGAGTTGTGGGGATCAGCCTTGTGCCTGGGGATCCTGGGTCCTGACAGTCAGATCCTCTCCTCTTTTGCTGATGCAGCCCCTGGAACAGATTAAACTGGGCAAAGTGCCTGTTGTTTGTACCTGAACAACAGTTTTCAATACCTGGATGGACCATAAATTTGTGAGCTGGTATTTTGCTAAGCTTGCTGTTACAATGAGAGCTTCCAATGCTTTTTTTTCTTTAAAAATTTAGCTTGAAGAGAAACTAATTTGTCAATAAAGGTGATGAAAGTACCATTCTTTCTATTGAGAGCCCAAATACTGGTGTTAAAGAGCATGAACTGCTTGCTCAAGAGTTTAATTTCTGAGCCTCAAAAGTTGATTGATTTTAAATTATTAAAGAAACCTCCAAGTTTCTTTGGTTGGAGCCCAAGATTTTCCATGTGCTGTGAAAACCTCCTGCCTCATGAGATTACTGTCAGGGCTACAAAGACACATAATAAATATAGAAATTTACCTGATCATTATTTGATGAAGTCACAGTTGTTTTTTTAAAAGGAGAGGGTGTTCTTATAAAACAGTGTCTTTTTTTTTTTTGCCATTATCTGAAACTGCAAAAGCCAGAACTTGTAATAAATAGGGAGTGTGTTAAGTAACTGCACATTAAACCACACACTTCTTTGAAGAACCTGTAGCTGAAGACTTTAAACTTCTGTTAATTAAGTCATTGTGGAATTTGCTGAATGACTAGTGATATGTTTGCTTTTCATATTAAGATTTATAATGAGGGGCACAGTGGAGAACCCACAGTTATCTAAAGAGTCAGGGGAATGTAGTTGTAAACACCGTACAAGTCTAGCAGGCCTTGGATATCACAGAATATGTTAGTGGGTAAGGAACCAGGGCCACAGTTGTTCAAGTTTCAAGACTATTTGTAGCACCAGCTCTTGCAAATACAAAAGAGATGCATCTAGCAGGGGACATGATACCAGGAAAAATCCAGTTAAATTCATTCTGCTTGTCACAATCTTTAGAACAACTGACAGGAGTGAAATACGAGAAAGTTAAAATCAAAAATGTTTTATTATCTTAGGGGAGGGGGAAAGAATCAGCCCCCGCTGTCATGGGAAAAAAAACCACCGAAACTAAATCATAGGAACAACTGATAAGGATTTTGATGGGTATTATGTCCTTGAAAGAATAGGACTGCTAAGAGATATTAATAATGATGACAGTTTCCTTCTTGGTATTTTTTTCTCTCACAACCAATGGCAAAAGGCAGCAGTTCAAGGCAGAGCAGGACAGAAGTCAGCTAAATATTTGGGACAGTGCCACTTAGTAAACTAAAGATGAAAAGAGCACCGTGCAACCAGGACACCTAGAGGGACACTGGTACTAGGGCAACACAGAAGGACCTTTGGCTTGGACGTGGGTCATAACCAATAAAACAGAGAAGCACGAGTGAGATGCCATTAACGGAGGATGCAATAGAGAAGTCAGTCTCTCAGTAGGAATAACACAAAGACACATTGCCAACAACAGCCAGAAAGGCACATGCTGGGCAGGGTGAGGATGACCAGCAGGGATCTTGGAGAGAAGGGCTTAGCTTGCAAGAAAGAAAAGTTTCAAGAACATTCCAGGCAGGCATTGTTCACACATGATGGGATGCATTCTGACTAATTCTGGCTGTTTTAAATGTATACAAGATAAGCCTTGAGGTTAAATTAGACGAAATATTTTGAATAATTAATTGAATTATTTTGAATAATGCCAAATTATACTCAGAACCTTAAATGACATTTAAGCAATTGTGGGAAATAACTAGTGTAGAGATTACTTCCTCTTACAACAATAGTTTTCATTGTATTGCTCAGTATATCATTTGCCAATCTATGTTTTACTTTATCTCAGGTAAGATTCTTGTCAAAGCCAGGTTTGGAATCCTTCTGTGACAGATTAGCTCAAAGCACTTTTACCTGCAAGTCAACAAGTTTTAATCATTCTGGCAGGAAATCAATTTAAGCGGTGCATTTCATATCACAGTTCTGTAATATGATTAAAATACCACATGCAATGTGGGACTATAATTACCTTCCTAGTCTGACATTATTGTGTTTCCAGTATTGGTTGAATATTTCTTAGTATTAATGAAGTCGGGTGAATTCCAATATTAAAATGGAGCCATTTTCCTCTGAAATAGGAAAGTAAACATGCTAGTTAAAGTTTTGTATGGGTAGTAGCAGCAGACATTTGCAGTTAGACCACATGCAGTGCTAGAGGAAGTCAATATTACTAATGATTGATTGCAACCAGCATCTGATTAAAGCAAAAAAAACTTTTAAAGTTCCCTAGTCCTTTTTTTTTTCCCCTCAAAAGGCTTTTATTATAAAATGTTTTAAGATTTGAAAGGATTAGTTTACCCAGCTGAAATATATAAAATGATTTCAAATAGATGTAGCTAAAGAAAAACTAGGTGTATGAAAATTGGTGTAATTAGAACATTTAAACTTGAATTAATTAATGGAAAGATGAAAATGATTGAATCTATTATTAAAGATTAAATATGAATTAATATTTTAAACAAATGGAGATGAAAAGTCCAAAAAAAACCCAAAAATGTTGTCATAGTCAAAAAGAATAATGTCTAATGATAAATGCACTCATAACTCACATCATAGAAAAAAATCACCACAAGTTTTTAAAGACAATAAGGTCAAAGAGTGCTGTGTGGACTTTGTGACGAGGAAAGTTTTGAGGACTAAAATTTTTTATTTGTTTGTAGTCCTTTTTTCTTTGTTGTTCCTCATTTGTATGTAAACCAAGGCTAATTTGATCACAATGTTTGTATGAACATGGATTTTAGAGATGCCCCGTATCCTTTAATAGGGTTCTAGAAAACCTTCCTATTTCAAGTAATTTGAAATTATTTGTAAGACAGTCTTAATCCACATTAACCAATTTATTTAAATTTCCAGACAGTATATTCTGTCAACTGCCCAGTTTTTACTTTGACTAAATATTTCCTCCCTTTTCAGCACCATCTTTTGAAAAATTACTGTGCCTTTATTAAAACTAGATTAAATTAGATCTTTTTTCTTTCCTTTTTTTAATGCTAGTTTATCAGATCTTTGACACATGTGCCTGCTCACCTGAAATGCATCTCACGAGCTGCACCTCCTCTGCCCCAGTGTTTAATCCTCTGTTAAAAATACATTTGTGTTGATTCTGTTGTTTCCATTCATTCAGCCGTCCTGTTGTGGGCTGAAATCTGCTTCCCTTGGGTGTGCCAAGGGAAACACTCAATTAGTAGGGACCTCCCTCTGTGCTCAGAGCCAGACAGCTGATAATATACCCCATGTATTTTACTGTAATAGAATGAGTTAGTCTTCTCTTTGATTTCTCTCAGATACAGGTTGTGCTCACTGTTTAACCTCCACATAAACAGCATCTTTCTTAGTTCCTTTCAGGTGGCTTAAATTTCATAAGGCTGGGAATTTGGGTATTGTTTTGTTTTATTTGCTGTCATTAAACACTGTTATTACAAGACATTCCTAGGGGATTCCTCAGACAGATTTTGAACATTTTATTGCTCTTCGGGACATCAAGGCAATCACAGTGGAAATTTACTGAAAGATTTAACAGTTATTATGAATAAAAATGGCATATGCAAACCCGAACTGGAATCACAATTAACAGCTATTATGCCCAGGAGACATTATTACAGGAACATCTCAGTAATCCATATATCTTTTTGACAGCTATATTTTTTGATAGCTAATTACTGGCAGTAAGAAATCAATGATTTTCAAGATCTTTTCGAATGAAATCACATTCAAAAGGGTGGGGATTCTTTTGCCATTGGTATTAAGTATTATAGAAGTCCTCAGCGTCTTCACTAAGTTGGTCTTAGAAGAGTTGTAAGTTATTAATGAAGCTATATTGTGTGATCTATGAAAATTAAATTGTAGAAGTTTCTAAATAACTATGCACTATAAGTTCTTTACCTATGTCTTGGTATAATCTCCAATGATAGCTGTGTTCTTTTGTATACAACTGAATTTACATTAAGAAACAGACATTAAAAAAGAGTTTAATCCATATTCAGCAAAAAGCTGAACTGTAGGTGTTCCACAGTATCCTATGGAACACATATCTCTGTGCTGTCTTGGGTCAAGTTATTTGACATTCTGTTTTTAATTTTGTCTTATTGATGAAACTGCATTTTGGGCAGCAGCAATGTTCTTATCATGTGACATTTAGCTTTTCATGGCTTTGTAGAAATAGAAGGGGTTAACATGGATTTCTTTAAAAGCAAAGAATGCCAGTGCACATAATAAAATAATTACATATTATTTTCAATAAGTTATGGTTTTAGAAACACTGTGAACTGTGTAAGTCATACATATGTTATAGACTTAAATTCCAGATTGTGTTATTTATGTCTTATCATAATTTCTCTTTTTGTCTGATAGGAAACTGCCACTAAAGGAGGAAAATGGCAAAGAAGCTTTAAATCCAGAAACCATAGAAATCAAAGTTGCTAATGATATCATCCAGTCAAAAGAAGATGATAGCAAAGCATAATAAGATAAACTACAGCTGTCTGGATAATGCATTTGGATTGAAGTAATCCCGTGACCAAAACTTTACAGCTGACCTTAATTTCTTGGGAAACTTAAGCTTGGAATAGTTAGTACGTGTGTACATATGATGAAACAGTTCCTGTCTACAGTTTCTTTCTATTTTTTTGTTAATGGTTTTAGTATGTAGTTTTGCTGACACCAAGTCCCATGGTATAAATTTGACAAATCTGCAGAATAAGAACTGTAATTTATTTTGTGAAAAATTATGCCTATTTAGAAGAAAAGTTGCAGAGCACCCCTAGCCACAAACAGCATATCAGGTCTCTCCAGATCTTACAGTGCAAGCTACATACATAAAGTGCCATATGCTACTGTATTTATTTCCATTTATAATAAAACAAAAGTTTAGGTTGTCTTTAAAAAAAAAAAAAAGAAAAACAGTTTCAGTATAACCTTTAAGACCTTAGCACTGGCAGATACTCAGTAGTCATTCCAGCTGTGATTATCACTTGAAGTAAACAAAAACCACTCTTCAACACAAAGGCAAGTCCACCTGCAGTTTCACCTGGGTTCTACAGTAAAATGAAAAGCTGATAACCATGATGGTATATATGGATTTAAATAAAATTGGTAACTGTTTTGTAATGATATATTGGCCTCATCCTAACTACATGAGTGTGACTCTGAAAGGCTCCAGGATTGGATTTTCAGTGCTTCAGGTTTTCTATATTAAAGTTTTGGAGGTCACTTGTGAACTAAAATGCAGCAAAGGTGTGGAAAGAAAACTCGTTTTTAATCGTAATCTTGTCTTCAAATGAAAAGTTACAATATTCTTCCCACCATATTTATACATATAGAATATTCATTTTGCTCTTAGTTCAAACCATTTAGTTGGGGGATGAAACTGTGTTTTAGTGAAATAGATACATTTTCTCCCCAAATCAGTGCATCAAACGTTAAAGTTAGCTTTATTGAAACAGCAGTTGTTCCTTTGTGATTTCCTTTGTGATACTCTTTGTCTTAACAAATAAGATGTAAGAACAGATGGAAAGGCAGACTTTGCCTTAACAGTTAGGAACAGTATTAAATTATTAACTTAATGCAGTCTTATATTCAACCAAATTCATTTTTTTCCCTGTTAAGCTTTCCTTAAGATATTCCTTTTTATTATTCTGGTCAACATGCCCCACTTGGAAATTTGACAGATTTATTTGATGCAAAAATCATTCATATTTAGTATCATTGATTAATCACTAATTGGAACAATATAGTTTGTTTCCATTGCAACATAGTGTATCCACACCTACCAAACTCTTCAAAGTCTTGCTTTGGAAGAAGTAGATAAACCATATAGAAAACTAGATTGAAAAGTTTTACTTGACAGGAGTAAATGGTAGAGTACTTTGTGGATTTTCCACATGTAAGTCATGCCTGAGGTTTAAGTGTAGCTTTGCTCAGCAAATTGTTTTGTGTCCATGCTATATCTGAATTCTGCTCATATTTGAAGTTCTTACACTTGTTGTCTTTTGTGCAGTAAAACTGAAAGTGAATTTTAAAAGGATGTCCTTAAACTTGAGGAAAATGTCACAATACCCTTCTTGTTAACCCAAGCTTAAGTGCATTTGAAAGAGCTAAGGAGGATATATTTAATTATTAGAGCTGTCTTATTTTTCAAAACCAGGTTATTTTATGGGGTTTTTTTACAACTTTTCCTCACTTTGGGAAATACGTGCGATGACCGAAGTAGTTGAGGACAGAGGCATGCCACTGGTGTGGTTAGGACGAGAAGTCAAGCTCTTACAAAACTAGTACCAAAGTGAAAAGAATGGGTAAGAGGGGATAGTAGTGTGGGATGAAAATCATGAAAGATGATAATTCAAAATTGCTGAAAGGAAGTTTCTCTTAATGCTAAGGCACTAATTCTGGGTGAAGAAAAGATGAAGACATTCCTTTATGACCTCTCACTGTTGTTCCCACATCCTGAGCAGGCAGTACCACCAAAGAGCTGCTTGTCTGTCAGATTTCTGTTCTGTTCCTTTTTGAGTACACAGTGAGCTCAACTGCCCCCTAACCTATAATTAAGAGAACCAGTTGTCTTATTTATATATATGAATATATATTCTTTGTACAAAGTATGTATTTGCTCTATCAAAATGCAAGGAAGGGACCTGGGCAATTCCAGCAGTTGAGAACAATGCGGTTGGTGTGGCTGAACATCCTCTCACACAATACTTTTTCCAGGGTGAGGATGAAGGTAGGAGACATCCTTGATCTTCTACCTGCTATCACAAAGTAAGGTGGTGCCATGCATATCCACATAAGTCAATCCTCCCCAGGCAAATGGTGCTTTTCCTGAAGCCAGCCTCAGCAGTTGCACAAGAAGCTGCCTATACCATGTGGGCAGAAGTAGCACTGTCCAGGCTCAACTGCAGATGCATTTCAAATTTTAGTACTTCTTTAGTTGGACTTATGCACACACACAAAAAAAATCATGGACGATATTGGTGGGGAGTTTTTTCCTCTTTCTTTTTTCCCCTAATATGGCCTCTAATTCCAATATAAAGGAATTAGAAGATTTACGAGATCTTGTCAGCACATTATTACTAATATGCCTGTGCTACTCTTCACAAGCAAAATATTCCACAAAATTATTTCAATATTCAAAGTAAAAGCATTTCCCATTATATTAGTTTACAAACCAAAATCTGTTTCCAGGAGTATTTAATTTCTTCTTGCTGTTATGCCTCTTGCCAGCTGGGCTATATGAGGGCTGAGAATAAAACAGTTCTATTTCCTGATGGACTGTCCAAGCATACCTTTTTGGTCTGTGGATTAATAGGTAATCTCTTGTGCTTTGACTCTGTGCTGTGCAGGAGAAAGCCAAACTCTATGAAAGAATGCGGAAAAACACTGATATTTGCAAATATTTCCAAATGAGGGACAGCTCATAGTAATTTGTAAGATATGTGTAGAACTGGAATAACAACATTTGTTTATTTCCTTTTCCTATTCTAGACTAAAAAAAAAAAAACCAACAAACAGATATCTGTATAAATGTCACTTTTACTGTCTAAAAGTAATTTTAAGTGTTAGTATGAAATGTCAGAAGAGTTGACAAAATATAACTATTTGTAAAAGTAATCTGAATTGTTACACTAACATACTCCAGGGACGAGGGTGGGAGGGAGCCATTGAAATTATTACTGATATGAAATGTGGCAGTGACAATCTCTTTTCAACAAAAAAAGTAAGGAGTACAATTAAGTAAAATTACTTAGAACTCCTTGTTATAATTTTTTTAGTAGACCTCTGTTCTGATTTACCACAATAGTAACAAAGTTTTAATTAATAGTTTACAATTTAGTATATGAATGTACCCTGGAGAGGTTTTTCTTGGTTTTGTTCGTTTATTTGGGGTTTTTGACTTCTAAGTTTTTTTTGTGGTTTTAAAAATATTTACTATTCTGGTGATGCTAATGCCTAATGTGACAAAGATTAATTTATTTAGGCCTCAGTCTTGCAAGAAATTTTATATGGCCGAACCCACCCCACATATGGCACTTCACTGACACCAGTGGGGTGGATGTGAGCAGGAAGATGGATGTACTTTCATAGGAGAACTTGCAGGACTGGGCCTACTTTCTATCTCTTCATAGATATTTACAACGTATTTACACAGTGACCGTCATCTACAAAGGCTGTTTGACAACAGTTCCTGGTATAGTAAATTCCACCTGCTGTCTTCAGCCTCTGCATTGATGTTCATCCAAAAAAAAAAGTGGCTTTCTTTTTTATGATGGTAATTACTTTTATTATTTATTTAAGTGCCAATCATCAAACTGTAGTATAATCATCATGCCATTTTTTTTTCTGTTTCCTAGACCAGATAATGGAAATGTATTTGTGCCTTTTGATAGCATGCCACTCTGCTTTATTAAAGAAAAATCTTCAATAATTTGTCTACAAAGCCTGTTTAAAATAATTGAAAGCTTTACCGTGACATTAAACTGGAGATACTATTGTGAAGTCACGTAAATACTTTAAACACAAATTTTTCAAAAAATCAATTGAGATCACAATTCCACGGAGGGTCATAGTGGGTGTATTACTGCTGAAAACTTTCAAGTAGATGGAGCACATGGTGGATGTGCGGGGGTGTTTTGACCAATTTATCAAGTTGAAGAGTCAGACAGAAAGTCTCCTTAGTTCTATTTAAGTGCTTAGACCTAAAATATTAAAATCTTTTCTCAAATTTGAAAGATGATGTGGAGCATCTTCCCACCATTTTTACCCCTGGAGAAAAACTGGAGTGAACATTTGTTTCGCAGTCATTTGCAGCCTCACCATCACTGGGTAAGCTGTCACAGGAAGTAACATTTTGGTAGCGTAGTTGTGTCTGATGAATGATAATCACTCCTGATTAAAGAACCTCCATAAAGGCCTTTTACTGGAAAAGCTCAAGACCCCTGTTATGAATTGACCTATGGAGGGGTGCTGAGGGTGCTGCAGGAAGGGCCACACTGTAATCCAGGTGTCGTTGGGCTGTAAGACACAAAATGACTTCAGCAGAGCCTGAATTTCATCCATCCATCCACCTCAGCGAGGCTCTGCATGTCCTCAGCTGATCAAGTTGCTTCTAGGTATAAGTGGAACTTAAATGTCCCACCAGGCTCCTGCTAACATTTTGCACAGAGGGGGGTTTTTCTATCAGGTGTTTGTACTGATCAGGAAATAGTGATAGAATATCTGATGACAGTTTTTTCCATACTTTACCATATGTCCAGAAAGAAAACATCTCTTTAAATAATTCATTGTGATTGTGACACTTCTTCAGGTGAGGATGAAAACATTCTTAAAACATATCTTTGTTTAGCTTCAGATAATTGTTTTGACCAATGAAAATCTACCATGGCTAAATAAATCTTTTTTAAAAAGGATCCACCCCCTTTTTTCAGATTTTTTCATATCAGTTCCTGAAGTAGCCTGTCCACTTGACAGCAGTTCTTTAGTAGTGGGGGGAAACCACTCACTATGTTTTAAGTGATCTTAAGTGATAAGTTTTAAGTATTTCCACTGCACATATAGATGTGTTCTTATATCAATTTATTTGAACCTGAGCCAAAAAGAAGCCTTACAAATTTGGCCTTGGATCAGGTTCTGAGAAATCACAGTTTAGCAGTCTATCTTTTCTCTTAACAGGCTTTGAGAGCCTCATGATGTTTGACTTTCAAACTTGAATATTGGCCATTTTTAGCCCAGAGAAATGAGATAAATATTTATTGCCAAATTTGTATTGGCAGCTTTTAAGTCACAGGTGAGATCGGGTGCGGGTGGGATGACCAGATGCAGTGCCAGCAGAGTTCAGGAAAGCAACTTCCAGAGAGAACGGGTGCCAAAGAATGAGCCAAGAGAGGGCTTCAATTCGTTAGCATTGACAGGGGAAATGGGGAGCTACTGAAGCAGGAGAGGCTGCTGAAGGGCATTGCCAAAAGGCAAAGCACTGTGAGCTGTGAAAACCAGTGAAGAGGGAACATTAACCGTGCTGTATCCTTTAGCTCTACCATGTAATTAGGCTGCATTTTTTAAAACCTAAAATGCAGGGTTGGAGGAAGGGAAAACAAACCCTCAGAGTCTCTATAGAGCAGTGACGAATACACAAAGCAGTCAAACCCCCCCAGAAGATAATTTTGTTGCTCATGATGTAGAGTTCTCACTACGAATTTTGAACTACTTAGACAAGGTTTTAAAAGGAAAAAAAAAAAGCTTTCCTGCTACAATGAGCACTCGGTACGTATTTGTATGCTGTGTACAGTACAAGCTAAAGCATACCATATATTGTTTTTGTTATTCCACATGTTGTCAACAGCCCACTTGCGATATATGCCACCTGAAATATATATTGATAAGTTAGCTACCACTGGAGCTAGTTTGTTTATTGTTTCAGAATCTTATGTCCCTATGAAATGCTGTGTATATATATATATCTCTATACTGTAAAAAGAAGTAATATCGCAGATGCTGGTTTTGTATTTATGAAAGACATTGAAAGTATGGCTTAAAGTATATCAATTATTTGTCACTCTTCACCATTTGTATATTAATAGTAAAGATACTTTTACTTTAATGAAGTGTTGTCATTATATTTATTTTTGCTAAGCATCTTTCTGTCAAGATGTCTGATTCATTAAGAGTCTCATTGCCAAAAAGAAACATATCAATTATTTTACCCTCTTTATAGAAGTACTGAAAAACGCTCACACAGACCTACAATTTATTATTCTCTTTTCTGTCAAAATACATCTATTGTAGCATCCTGAGCTTGAGGCCCATTATGATCAGCCCTCTAAGTGTTAGTGTTGATAGATAATATTCCTTTTTTCCATACAAGCGCAACATTTTAAAGGTATTTAGTATATGCCAGAAAAAATATTATCAGCAGAAGCCTCCTTATTTTGCCAAACCTTGAATCTTCCAAAAGTCTTGTAACTGTGTTAGCACCACAAGGAGCTGATGGTAACAGGCTGGGCATAGTCTGCAATGTAGTGTGCTTTTACTGCAGTGCTGGTTTGTATTCCAGTAAGACAGAAGATGGGCAAAGCACACCTCAGAGAATACAGCCCAGGCACTCCCCTGAAATGGCAGAGCAAAATCTCCTCCTTTTTACCACCAATAAAATGAAGTAACCTAAGAGAAACTTGCTAGATTGTGTATTCATGCCTAAGAATCAGCTTTCTGAGTGGCACCTAAGTTCTAAAAAACCACACCAGCCTAAGAAAGGAGGGGCCATATATAGGAGAAATATATTGTTCTACCCAACAAAATCTTCACAGCTGTATCTTCTTCCTTCCACACACCCTTCAGCTCTGACCTTGCAGATGTCTTAGGCATGTGTTTCCCTAAGTGTCAGTGACAGCATTAACAAATAATAAAAATACCTCTTTGTATTGAAAAACTGTGCATGAGAACTTGTTCAGTGTCTTGTTAACACCAGTACACCACAGAAAATTTTTCATATAGTCATGTCTCTTGCTCAGAAAATAAACAGACTTTCTCAAATGATGCACAAATTTAGGTCAAGTATCTTGAGAGTCAATCAGTTTAGTGCACTGTCTGCAGGAGAGGTTCCCCCTTTAATTTAGAGGTGAGCAGTAAATGCAACTATTGCAAACTACTGATAATGGAAAAATAATGTATGACATCTTCAGAAACAGATTCAACCTTTTAAAATTCAGCCTTGTCACAATATATCATTCTCTCATGTGATTCAGATGTTACTTGAAATACAAGATAAAATACTTAAAATTATACTCAGGTACCTTGATAAGAACAATTTGTTTACCCATGTCATTCCTAAATTGGTCACAGATAGCACTGGACCAAAAAACCTCCAAAATGAAATGGAAAAAAATGTGCCACACTGATTCTTGATTAAAACTTTTTCATTTGAGACCCAGCAGATCCTGAAAAACAAACTGTGTAAACTCATTTGTAAACTCATTCCTATGTGGAAAATGCTTCTTGTTGGGGATATGGTTCGAACTTCTTTGGTGATTTATTAAACACTTCCTAAAAAAGCTAAACCTCTAAATCGAGCTTAGTGTCATACTTTAACTTCTGTAATTTTTTTTTTTTTTTTTGGAAAAAAGATAATACTGTCCTTCAGTCTGATTAAACAAAGAAATGAAATGTATCCAGTTAGAGCCAATATAAATATTGTCAGTGGTGTTGCTGAGAAAGCAGAATGAACTACATCTGGCAGGAGGGTGATCAGGTTAAGCACACACTTGTAGAATTCTTACAGGGAATCTGATGATAAGGTGAACAAAAAAGTTTTTAATTAAAAAGAAAAGCTTTTTCTGCTAAGCAAATGCCATCTTTTAGGACTAAACTATTGAGGGAGAAATGATATCTTATTATTTTAAAGTTTAAAAAGGAGTTTCATTGTCTTAGACCATAACATGATGAATGAATTTTACTCTGGCACTTATTTTTATCATAGATCAGAGGAAAAAAAACTTTTATGATTTACTTGTGTCTGAAGGGCTAAACAGCCTTTAACCCCAAGAAATGAGAAGTTCCTATGTACTGCCATTACAATTTCCAAGTCCATAATAAATAAAAATTAATTTGTTTTAAGAATTGCTTTCAAAAGGATTTATGAATGACATATGTATTTTAGGAAACAAGAATTTGGAGAAAGTAATGACATATAGTGTGCACATTTAATCGACAGGGTGCTTGCACTGAAATTCAAACTACTGTGTGAATTTTCGCAGGGCAAAAGTGGTGATGTATATTAGAGGTTTCCTATGCAAAGGTTTTAATTATAGACAAGTTTTGTAATTAGACCATTCCCTAATGGGATGCAAGTGTTAATTGTTGCACTGGAGTAGCGGTTCTGTCCTTCTTGGTATTCATGACATGCCCAGCTGCAGTATTTTTTTCTATCCTTCTCTCTAAAAGGTATATACTCAGTAGAAAATAGTATCCTTAAAAAAATTAAAGGCATTTACTCTGAAAAGTATGATTTTCGCTTCTTTTGAGTAAAGGAAAACATTTAAAAACCACTTGTATAATCTGGTGATGTAATACACAGCTATAATATCATTGCCAGGCACTTTTTTCCATACAATACGCTTGTATTCTTCAAGGCAACATAAACTCCTTAAGCTAAAACATCCATGTTTTTTGTGTTACGCTGAAGGATGGTGACACGAACATGCTGAACAGTTGACCAAGGAAAGCGTTTGATTGTTTTCTGAGAGTTTAATTTCAGCATCAGTCCAGGGCCTCTGAAGATACCACTCTGTCTGCTGGATACGGGCATGAGAGGGAAGCAGTAACGTAGAGGCAAAAAAGTAATAAGAGCCACTCTATTGATTACTGATTAAATTGCTGCTAACTCCACTAAGTAAAAATACCCCAAAACCCCACAAAGCAGCTAGAGCTTAGTATTCGAGTCCCCTGATGCTGTTGAAAGATAACCACTGTCAAAGTGCCACGACTTCTGGCAGCTCCCTGACACCGGTTTGCTGAGGGACTCATGGGGGGGGTCTGGGAGAGTTTGGCAGTCAGGGTCTCTACCACCATCCTCAGCCCAGGAGCAGGGCAGCCCAATGCCCAGGGACCCCGTAGTGGGGATGCAGGGTCAAAATTAGCCCAGGAAGCCAGGATCCACCTGGTCTGTGAGCGCAGCTGGAGCAGAGGCACACAGCCCTGGGAGGCTGATAGGAGTTGTGGGTAAGCTGGGGGGGGAGCTTCAGGGGTGGGCAGGGCCAGTTGGGGATGCCAGGGCTCGGAGAGTAAGGGAGGAAATTCACAGAGAGGTAAGAAGTTTTTATATTCTCAGGTTGGGTTAAAGGTGTAGAATGAAAAAAAAAAAAGGTTTTGGAGGTGGGAATTGGGTACATGCCCATTTGCTGACATGTTAAAGCAGTAAGATGTTGATCATTCAGGTATTTTGGGTTAAGAATGATTCTCAGCTGAGAAAAGCATAGTGCCACAAGTAAACTAAATCACATTCTTTGTAGATTGCTTTTGTTGTATTTTATGTGAGATTTTTGGGAGATAAGCTCCTTGTAGTTCGTAATTTGCTTGAAGTGTGAGAGCAGAAGACTGACAGAGAAAGGCTGTAGCACAGGATTAGGGATCAGAGGATCTGATTTCCATTTTGGGTGATAGTTGCTTGGATTGAGCAAATCAATTGCCAGGAAAGAGTAATGTTTTTTTTCCTCTCTTTGGTCATTTTGTGCTAAAGATTTATGGACCCGTTTATCTTACTGATTTCAGTGAAACTACTTGCAATAAATACAAGAACAAGCATAAACTGTTTGCTAGATTTAAACCTTAGATTAAAAGTGAGGTTTGCTGTGTTTTGTGGTGGAGGAATCTTTTTCCTGCTGCTTCATGGAGTTTTAGTGTGTTCGAATTTGAACCTATTGGAGCATTCAGTTCTGAGCACACATTTAATACTTGAGTTGGTACCACTGTCTGAGCATGAAAGCAACAGCCAAATCCTGGGCAGAGGATGCGTTCTCTGTAAGAGTGGCAAGCTAGACAAAGGAGACCTATTACCCATAATTGTGATATTTTTAACTTCACCTTAAAGAATTATGAATTATTTATCAAATTATGAGAAACTGAATGTCTTTGTGTAGCTTCAAAAAATGCTGCTGTCTTGATATATTATGGTGTTTGTTGAGACAAATTGCTCTGAAGGTTTGCCAGTAACTTCTGTGCGAAAGGGCAGCCATGAATTAATTTATTTTTCAGGGAATAGAGACAATTTTTTCCCTATACCGTAACACCCAAATTTCCCTGGAAATACTTGAGTAACTTAACAGACAACAAAGAACACACTGAGTTATCTTAAATAACCTATCTTAAAATCCTTTACTATCTGTAACAGCAGAATTTACCTCTTCTAGGATTTTTTTTCTTTACCAGGTCTTTTGAGGGCAGTTTAAACACTACAAGTTTAAATGGGTTAAACAAATGCAGGTGTGGTGTGGTGTGGCTATTTTGCCAATGGCTGGTGCTCCCAACTTCACTCTTTCCCAGAGGTAAGTGTGTTTAGGTGCTGTTACAGCTTCCTCTCTTGCTTCTGAGAAAAGAAGGTATTGTTAGAGGGACTGTAACAGGGAAGCTTTTAGTTAAACAACAAGCTTTGTTGTTTGGATGCTGCAGCTTCTGTCAGTGGAGTATCTAAAAGCCTTGAGCGGGCTGAGGGTGTGCAGAAACAGAATTACAGTCACAAAAAGTCGAGAGACAAAAAAACAAAACCAGAGGAGGGAAAGCTGACTTATGTATTATCAATAGAAAATCTATACTGGGAGCAGGAATTATGAGTATAGTAGTTTTTAATCACTTTTACTCTGAAGATGAGTGGGAAGAGTGATGGAATTATCAGAATAGCTTTAGTAAAGTAGTGAAGAGTTAGGCAAAAGATGTATTAGAAAGTTAGTGAAAGAAATAAGAATAAAAAAGGGTGGGAGAAGTTTAGGTGAGACCAAAAAAATATAATTTGCTGGCAGAAAGTAGTTATCTTTTTAAACAAAGAAAATCAAGTGTGAGAGAGAAATCCAGCATGCTGACCTGGAGAAGAGTGAAATGTTGGTACCTTTGCGGTGTTGGGAGGTTGGGCAGATGCCTGTGTAAATAATTTTTGGAGGGTGTGTAGAGTGCTTGATACGATGCTTTTCACTGATAACCCCAGTCAGTGAAGTTAGAAGACGTTTACCCTAATTCTTCATAACTTTCTGGATATAACTTGTCACTCTATTCCTACTTTTGAGTGTGAATGGAAGGCTTTCATACAGTGGCTTTATTTCCTGCTTAGCTATTATGGCCTTCCTGGGTGTGCACACTGATGGTAGGTGACCCAAATTCTCTGTGAAGTCCCATTCCTGCCTTACCTTGGTGTATATTGGTGGAAACTGTTGGGCCTGCAGAGTGATATATTAAAAGCAGATTTCAGCAGAGAAGGCTAAATCCTGTGTTCTCACCTTTTCCATTCTTCAGCCTTGATTAACAGTGGAGTAACTGAAAGGTACAATTGAATTGTACTAAACCAAGCTGTTCATTGTGGTGTTCTTGGGGTTTGGTAGGGCTTTTTCTTGTTTGTTTTAGGTTTTCTTTGTTTTTGTTTGTTTGTTTGTTTACTGTTTTTTTTTCTCCCAAATAGTCCTTCAGCATTCTGACCTGCACCTATTCCTATAATATTGAGAACTAAACTGAAACTTTTTTCTTTTTTCTGCAAACTATTAATTTCCTTCCTCTCAGGCTCTATTTCACTAACTCTTCTGACAGCCATGTAGCACTTAGGTGTGCTGCAAAGCCCTGCCTGAGGTGGAATTTTTTGCCTAGTCCAGATAAAATATATTCCCTGCATCTTGTCTTTTTGTGGATTTTTTTTTTAGAGTAGCCTTAGAGATGGATTAAGCTCAATTTTTGTAATTGGACATTTATTCCACTATGCAAATTTGTCTCTGTTAAGCTTGATCGTAAAAAAGACAAACATGAATACTGCTTTTCCTTTGTTCCTTTTTCTGTGCACAGATTTTTTTCTTTGGACCACTCATGGATCTATTGGCTCATCATCCTATGGTATGACTTCCTTTTCTTACCGTGCTTGTGGTCATAACATCTCCATGGCTCCAACTTCAAAAATATGTCAGGCAGACAGGTTGTGTTAGAGTTTATAGGTTTAACTGCACTCATTTAGCTGAGCAAGTAGACAGATCATGACAATGTGCTTTAGAAGATTTTGGTGGTACTTGCTTTTTCTCAGCAGCTATTCACTCAGACAGATGTGCTCTCTCACGTAGGTGGACTTGGAAAGGATGTGATGGTGGATAATATAATAATACTAATATAGATGAGGCCTCTAGTACATAGTACACTACTACTATCACAGCAGGAAGCTGTGATAAAGGGGTTAAATGGTCTTATTTGACTTCCCATTTTTAGTGGAACAAATTTATCTATTGGAATAGGGTTGGTTTATTTTTAAATTGATTTCTGTTTACTTGGCTCTTATTAGACCTGTTTACAGAATGGTCATGTAATGCATATGTCTCAGAAATCTCTTTACTACACTAAAATAACAGGACCCTATTTTAAAAATGGCTAATTTGTGGACCTTTGATTATTTGTATACTTTTTTTGCTAACTCTCACTCATATTGCTTCAAATTAGTTCAAACCAGGCTGTCATTTTCTAGAAGCAAAATGGGCTGTGACAATCTCCCAAAACCCAGAAAGTATTGCAGCAGGTAATGTTATTATGATAGTAGTGGAACTTGCTGCCTTCTTGTAGCCAATGGTGTTTAGAAAAAAGTCTAGTGTATTTATTAATACAAAATACTCTAAAAATCAGTGCCCACTCACACTAAAATTGATTTATGACCTGTGTCTTCTTTATAGCCAAATTGATCACTGTTTATTTGCCTCTTACTAAAAGTCTGTTAACAAGAGATTGTCAGTCTCTTGGGTGGGTGCTGGCATGTATAACCATGAATATGTTAGAATTTAGCAGAAACTTTCAATGACTGTTGCAGTCTCTTTCCTTTACTCCCTTTGAGCCACTTCACTGGTACATAAGGTGCCATCACATTGTGCTGCATTTAGAACTGCAAAGAATAATACTTGACTTTAAAAGACATTTCAAGTTGTAAGTGAAGATATACCATAGATCTGGATTTCATCTGTTATTTTGGTTAAAAAATACCATAACAGTTTAACTTGAGGTTTTATTAGATCTGAGTCGGATGGATGTAGACAACTTACAGCCTCTAGGCACAGCTTTTCTTCCTTATTTTTATGTTCCACTGTATGTTACTCTGTCACAGTATGAAGAGGCAGCATTTTCCCAAAGCAAAAGTTTACAGCTTGTTAGGTACAGACTGATAGATATGAATTGTTTGCTTTGTTTTTTTTTTTCCCTAACAGTTTAATTCCTTCAGTGAGAAAAATTTATGCCTGCACATGAATTAAGATTGATTCATCACTCAAAACAAAATATATCAGAAATGCACATCATAATTGCTTCCTTTTTATCACAATATTGTACCAGCTTGCCTTCTTTTTCCAGCCAACCTCCTCAGACCATCCAGAACCGCCAAAACATCTGAGATAATACACATTCAATTACAGTATTATAAAGATGAACCATCTGTCCTAAGCTTTCCAGTGCTGCACGAGAATGAAAATAGGAATATGAAAAATCCCAGATAGGTTGTCATAAGTCCCAACATGACATAAGTAAATTAAGTCAGTCCCTAGTATGTTTAAATAGCCATCACAGATTTTACCACCTACAATTAAAACCAAAATTAGAAAGACGATGTCAGATGCTGTGGAATCCACTGAGAGCAAACGAAAGTAAATTGTTTCAGTGCATTCAACAAACAGTGGTAATTTTATCAAAGCTTTGTTTTTCAAATAAAACCCAACTCAATCCACATTTAAGGAGTCTAGAAGTAGGCTTTCTTTCTGTTGTGCTTTACTCCACGGTAATGGAAAGGATAATGGACACTTCACTCTTAATACTTAATCACATTACATGATTTCTCTTCCATCTTCCACTTATTTTCAGTAGATCTGTGTTTACACAGGTATAACCTATTCCTTATACTGCGATGTGTCTGAGGTTTCTCTCACACCGATGGGAACAAAGCTGTGTGCAGAAAATGAAGAGCTGTATACCCCACAGTTGGTGCTTTGTATTGATTGTTGGCTTACAAATAGGTGTACCTCTCAGTGCAGCTCTTGCCTAAGACCTTTATGTACACATATTTTGAGCTAGGTGTGCTATATCTGCTAAGCTAAAATGCATTTAGTAGCGTGCAGGAGTTATCGTACTATCTAATTTAAGCCTATTTGTTTTTTTTTAATGATCACTAGAATGATTTTTACTTTTTGTGAAAGATAATTAACATCTTCCACTTGTGCAGAAGCATAAGGGGGTGGAAGGAGAGCTTAATAGAGGGAGAAGAATAGTTTTCACTGCCTAGTTAGTTATTATCCTAATGACATTCCTGATGACTTAAATAGAAAATCACTGTATACAAAATGTTAGCCAGAGTTACAAAAGAATTTCTGTTCCACACGTACTGTGTTTATGTTAAAAAAAAAAAAAAAGAGACAGGAAAAAAGTGGAGCATGAAGGCAGAAGGAAAATCTGGATCGTGAGCTGATGGGAAGAGAATTGTCCCATAAAAAAGAAGCTGTGGGTTTGTTTTTGTTCTTTCATCTTCCAGTCAGAAAATAACCTCTTCTTCTGTCATCCAATGTGGTGCTTGTTCACTTGGTGCATGATTTGATATGTTAGCAAAGAGAGGATGATGAGATGCCACAGCCAGTAGATTAATCCCTCTTTGTATGGGTAAGAGGACTGTAGGTTTAGCTGGGAGCAGGATTGTCCATCTCCAGCTCAGTCTGAGCTGCAAGGTAATCAACAGAAATTCCCTCTCTTCTCACCCATTTCTTCAGCACAGCTCCTGCAGGAACTCTGTGGAGTAGCAAAGTTATTTGCCTTTGGTCACATTGCAGTGAAGGGAGTTATCAACAGCTTCACACCATCCTGTGATACCCCTGTGAGTGGGAAAGTTCCAGCCCCTGAAATGGCTGCACTTCTTGGAATAGAAACAGCTGCTTCCCAACCTGCAGGGCATTTAAGATGCCTGTTCCTCTCTACACTAGTTACACTTGGAGCTGGAGCTCTGTGAACCCTGTGTCCCAGGTTCCTGTTCCCAGCCTCTCTGAAGGCAAGGCTTTCCTCCACCCTCATTTGTGATTTCAGTCCCTGAAAAGACAGGTATGTTTGCAGGGTAGAGAGGTCTGGTTTGTGCCTTAACCAGATGATCAAGCTGCTGGTGTGTGCTGATACAGTCCCACCAAAGTCAAACTAGATCCAGCAGACTGCCTCAAAATGGTTGCAGACTTTTGCACATTAGTAGGGACCTTCTGCTCCTTGGACACCAAATTTCATACCTAACTTAGTCCTTCTCTTTATTGCAGAGAATACAATTTGAGTTTCTCACAATTAAAAAGCTGTTATGTAT